GATTCCATCACAATAAAACATCGTTGTCAGTCCATTCTCTCATAAATTGTTCGTATAAAAATGACGGGAGAGTAATAAGTAACTATAACAGATATATTATATCGCCTGTAAGTACTGCTCACATAGCCTACAGTAATCGGTTGCTAGACTAGCTAGAAAAATATAATCATACTAGCACCTCCTCAGCACTTGAAGTCGGTTAAAAACAAGACAGGCCAATAACATACTTATAATAATAAGCTTTTACAAGTTATAAAACAGACTTATAAAGTCGTCACATTAAATCTCGAAGAAGACGACTCGTAATTAAACTAAATGAGACTATTCTAAATATGGTAGCCATTTTCTCTAACACAAAACGCTGATTTTATCTTTATTAATCATTTCAATTTAATTGGCAATCTTGGACTTAATTTGGTTTCCCCCATTAAACTCCATAGGAGGTAGGAGAACTACGATAGCAACAGATGTCTTGATGTGCATATTAAAAAAAAATATGCATCATCAAAAATTGTGTGCGGAAAAACCATAGACTTGTTATTGTAATAGCTATAAGACTATGACTAATATGGAAGATAATAATGACGTAATGTAAGAATGATATAGGTTATCAGGGATTGTTGCCAACATCGCTTTTGCAAAAGTATGCTACATAATAATAAATATGCGACATTTTAGCTCACTAAGTAAAGAATTTCCCTATAAGTAAGTGAATTTAAAATAATACCATCGAACAGGAAAACAAACACGTTCCCCGTTATAACAAAAATTTATTTTCAATAGTTTTACCACTTAATGTATTAGGTACTACTTATTTACAGTAAATAATGAGGAAAATGTACTTAGTTGTTAGATCTAACTAACAAATATAACAAAGTCACTGTTTGAACTTCAACATCGCTTGATGAAAAATACAAATTAAAGCATTTTACCTTTATAAAATATAGGTATCGATTACCACTCTTTAGATTACAATATTAAGCTTCCTGAACTTCCCATCTATTCTCCCTAACTCTAATGTTATGTACCGTCGCCATTTTTATGGCATGACAGTTGACAATATTGACAGATGATGCGCAAAGACAATGCACAGATAACTTAAAATCAATTGTTCACGTTCGATGTACATAATTTGATTAGTAAGTTGATATTTAGAAAAATCATTTTTAACACAGGTCTCTTGGAAGCTTTCTTAACTGAAACTGGCAAAGAAAAAATTAAACGAAATAGTTTTGAGTGCGCTAGTGCGTTTTGTGTAGACTTGATCACAACATTAAAAACTACAAATATTTTAATACTTTCTGGTACGAACATAACTGATATCAATGTTTATAATTGGATTTTTAAGTAGACAATTACCTACTTGCAATTTTACTTGTCAGTTGATAAGTAAAAACTACTTATTCGGTTACACCCAGAACATTCGATTGCTCATTTCTATCATCTGCTTCAGCTCCCCAAAACTCCCTAAACACATTAGACAAAACATTAGTCTTTTCCCTCGTATTTAAACTGTCATTAGTCCATATTAAGTACAAGTCGGAAACAAAGCAGCCATTGTTAGTACTGCAAAGGCACTTACTGATGTAATCGATAAGGCAGTTAAATTGGTCTTCAATGTTTACATTGAACCAAGCGGCCCCTGACGTCATGGGTAGTCCCCCAACGCGATGACTCACAAAAATCTCACTAGCACCACATAATCTCTTCCCGTTTTTGTTGCTCCCTTCCTCTTAGACCTGTTCCCTAAGGGTGAGTGAGACAGCACGAGCGACATTATCGCTCTTATTGCTCCAGGAAACGCTCCGGGAATAATCAACTCATTGAATTAATTCACACGAATCTAGAATCATCCGGAAAGTGGATTGTCTCTCTTTGCATTTTATTCATTCATACGCTTTTTTGAATACACTCCTTTCATATTGTAATTTAATTTTTGTGTTCGAGATATTTTTATATCGGTGAGTTCAAAGTTACGATTTTGTTAATACGGACTTAATTTCTTTCTATTCAATCAATCCCATGTTATTTAAAGATTATCACGATTAACAGCTATTATATCTAATAAGTAAATAGGCATTAATGAACCTTGTAGTGATTATCATATCCAAATATCACCACCGATAGTATAATCTATTAACAAATTAACATACCTACTTACACTCGTGACCACCAGATATTATATCTATGTAAGTACTAAACTTCTTTCTAGTAAAAAATATGAATACCTATCGATATTCAAATCTCTCATGTTCAATATGAAAATACTCGGAAGATTCAATAAGTACGTACTTACATGAATTCTATTGGAAAAAATAGTACGCAAGTGTATTGAATAGATACATGGCGAGCTTTATTCCGCCACTCCAGGTTAGTGCCGCCTCTCGGCGCGCTCCAATACTGTTGGTTCACGAACGTTCGAGTTGCGGGAATAGAAATAACTAGACTCTTCTCGTTACTTCGGGAACATTCTCCACGGTTCACGAATATTTGTTAGTTTTTCTGTAACCAGGTATTTATTTTAATGTTTTGCTTTTATTTACGTTCAATAATTAGATTGATGTGCTTTTAGGAAATATTTGTTTTCTGTCAGTTTATACCTATAAATAGGTACCTACTTCGTGTGTTATTAAAGGATACAACTAAGTTCACACCCAATGTTGTCGAGTATGTAGATTTGATAAACAGTCATAAATTAGATTTTTTTTGGAAAAGTCCTTAGTAGACAAATTAGATAAACAAGTTTTTCTATAATACTCCATCAATAATACTTACGATATTAACGCCACAAACTTAAAATAACAGTCCCACAAGAAACTAAAACTCAATTTAAAGTTTAAAACTGTTAGTAGGTAAAATAAGTTGATAACACGCGAGAATGTTGTGTCGCAGCACTAGGCGGGAATACAACCCTGCGGAGCGGGCGTCGGTGGCCGCGTGATGGGCCATAAAAAGTTAAGTAAAACAATAATCAGTCGAGCGGGGCCCTTTAGCCCTTCGCCCTCTCTTCCCAACCGTAAACATTAAACACTCGCTATGCATAAGGCAAAAGCTTTTTATAATTTCCATAAAAAACAGGACATGAATATTTAAAACATTCTTACACTAATAAATTTGTTGTAAAACGTTACATTGCTATGTATATACCTTTTTAATGATAATAACTTGACATTTTTAATAATAGATAAACTTAAATAGATCGATCCATATTACAACAGTTGTGGACGTCGCGTCGTAAAATTATATTAGGTACTCACCAACTTGTACAGCGAAGAAATCGTCACAAATCAACAATTAATTTGTCTTCATACTTAGTGTTATTAGTAGAAAAAAATATAATTAGTAAAACGTGGTTAGTTTAGTTGGCAGATATGTGAAGCATTTATAAGGGCACGTTAATGAATTATTTATTTGTTGTATTGACTGCGGCGGCTTTTGCAATGCCACGCATTGAATTATCGATACCATAAAACATTACAACCACTTATAACTAATAGCAGCTTGATGTTGAAGGATATTCGATCATTTGTCTGTTTGTCATGTTACGCATTACGCTCCTATAGGCGTGTCTGACAAAATTGAGCAACTACAGAACATGTTTATGACAAATTAACCCGAGGTAGAGCTGACAGTTATTTATAAATTAATAGTCATATCATTAAAATCAGGTTAAGAAACATATCTGTAAAAACAAATCGACGTAGATCGAAGTATTAAGTTGTTTACATTTACGCTTGTAAATGTAGGTACTGGTAGGTATAGGTCAATAGAAACTAAGTAGGAAGTAATCAATACGGAACTTCTACGAACAGAGTTGATATCAACAAGGGAATTGAAACACCTGGAAATATAGAATTGTTAGAATACCGTTGCAATAAAACGCAAACAAAGGAAAATACAATCAAACGTTAGAAATATTTAAACAGATAATTGAGTAAATGAAAGGCTATCCGTTCACTGAGGCGGTGTTACAAGCCATCGCGGCCTAACCCGATCATTACATATTAACTATGCATACTGACGGTATTCTATTGAGAATCCATTATAATCTTAATAAACCCTTGCCGATAGCCGTGTCTAATAACTTTATATGGCTTGTAAAACGTTATTATTTTCTTGATAGCCCATTTTCACATCTCCATTTTCGTCAATTTGCTATTTTTAAGGTCCATGTTAAACCAAAATTAAGTAATATATCACTTAAATCGGTACTTAAGGTAACTGACTGATAGATGACCAAATACGCAAATGCCACTCAACTTTAAGATGCTCTTTCAATAGTGTTGCTTTAACAAGCAGTTGAATAACAAAGACAACATGCCACTACATCAAAATTGTTTCAGCATCAGGCGAGAGAATTTATAGGACTTAATTGGCCGAAAAACAAAGCATTTTGAAATCAATCTTATCCCTTGGTGGTGAATTAAAAACATTATTTCTCAAACTTATTTGAATGTAGAAACTATAACCGTTTATGAGATTTCATTCATACTTTTCCTTCCTCCGATAAAAACAAAATTAAGGTCCAACCAATTCAGAACCTATTTACAATTCTACAACATCACTAGCGAACTCTTTTGAAGGAAAACTAAGCTCAGCCTTAAACGTGTCTTTTGAAAACTCCTTCACAGTAATGGACCTCTTTACATGCAGTACTCTTTACATTTATCGGCCCTTCCTTTAGTAAAATCCTCTTGAACTACATCATTTTACATTTAGTTTGATATAAGAATAGTCTTGGGACATTCAGAAAGCCTACAGGCAAATAATGGTGACAGCGACACAATAGTAATTCAATTTCTATGCAGAAAGTTGTTGGATTATAAGCTCAGACGGACTTAACTACAGTAGCTGCGGTATAATTCCTAGCTTCATCTGAAATGGCATACGTGCTCTTCGTTTTATAAACTGCTTTTGTAATGGATGTGACTATACGATGTAATGAGTTGTCTTGCAGCTTGTAAGATACACTTGATTAACAAGCCCCCGTTTTGTTTCAGGTAAGCCGGTGTGCACGTGCAGTTTGTGTGACAGAATGCCACGCAGCACAACCTACGGTGAGTTTCACAATAAAAAATCAAACAACCTTGACCTTTCTCACAACCACTTTGGACAGAGGTTGCAAATTACAGAGCCCAATTTACATATTTAACATCACAGACTCAGTACGGGAACATTATGAATATAATCGCATTAACCGTGTTTTCAGCCTTTGTCCAATTGAATCCTCGGTGCAGTAATCAAGTGGGTACGGGAGTGGGTCAGCGGGTCGGTCCGTCCCGGCGCGCTCGCCCGCATCGTCCCGACTCCCACCACCGCGCTCCCATGTTACATTATTCACAAATATAACTGACGATAAAAACAGCCAATAAATATCTCACCCCTATGTTACGCACCACATAAACTCTTGAACTCTTTCGTTTATCTCGAGCGATGCGAACATACGACGACGTTTCTCTAGCAATACAATACAATACAATCCAAATGTCAAATTCGTTCATCGTTTACAATTCATTTATTTCCTTTTCCTTATTTATTCACGTGATATCATTATAGATCGATGTCGAACGTCGAGTGATCTGCGAAGTCTTGTTTGTGGAGTTTCTCACTTGATTATGCAGTGACCTCTATTATTTCTGAGCTTTTGAATTTGACAATCGGAGTCATAAATACAATTAAATCGATTGTATCCTTTCACATTTAAATGCGAACCATAGCAGATTGGGTTACATCGGCCTTCGGATCGGAGGCGTATTATGTTTCCCCATACATATCTTAATCATAGAGTGTTCTGTATTTAACGTCATTTAATACCAGCCCAATAAACCCGCTCACTAATTGCTCGGTTAAATGTTGACGGCAATTTAATTTCGTCATTCTGTGCGGCTCTCGCTGGCGCAACCCTCGGCTCGATGAGAGGAAGTATGCACCGGTTGCTTCCCTCGGTGAACTTAACTCCACGTCTTCGGTTGAACCTCGTTCGGTTCCATCGGGTGATTAATAAATAATACAACTTGTTGGCCCGCATCGTGCGCATTAATAACATTAAAGAGTGATCGTGGTGGCATCGTTTTATTTCGACCAGGCACTGTATAATACACCCAATCTATTATTTCAATTCAACTACTATAATTACAGCGATTCTATTCGTGTCGCAAGCGGCACTTTCTCGATTGATTTGTCGATATAATTAGCCGTAGGGAATCTCGTCTGTATACTTTGTCGAAGCAATCGCGGCATTGCCACCCACGGTACCTTTTTACGATTTAAATAAAATCGTGCTTACTTCTCTCGGAGCGTTTATCGTTCATCTGGCGATATAAAACATCTATTTTAGGTCGCGTTTAAATATTGACGATAATAATAGAAGCCGTCACGTCTGTTATCGTCAATTAATCTAAACATAAACGTACCACCTCCTGATACTACAGTTAATGAATGGTCATTTTTATTATTGGAAACCATTTAATTAGGTTAATTAGATGTTTTTTCCGAAGCACTTAATAAATTATGTGTACGCTTCACGAGTATACGGCGCGTGTTAAAATATTTTAAAAATAGTGATTGGGGTTAGTGGTCTATTTTAAAATTTACTGGTGACACTCTGTAATTACATGTTTCTTTTTACTGAATATTGTGACAGTGAGGATTATAAAAGTATTCAACAATCGTGTCGCTATCACTGTAGGTATGATTCAACAACTATTTTTAATTTGACTAATGCAAAAATGTTTATGCATTTGTTTTGTATTACCTATTTACAACTTAATTTGCATTTATTTCAGACGTCAAGTCTGACGTACATATATTTTACTTTTTGACCTGCATTGTGCTACTAAGCACACGTGTATGGAGTCCTTAAAACTTAGTAAACCATTTAATTCCGGGTTTAAAACGGTAGTATACAAAACCAATCGTGGGTGATGTAAACTAATGAATAATAATAAAAAACTTATTATAGCAGTTAGCGCAGACTGAACGAAACATTTCCTATTTCCTGATATTTCGTTAGATGTGATCTCATCGTCGTTATCTTCATTTATTTTATCAATATCCGTACTCGTCTAGATAATGTAAATAATGTAGGTACCTATGCGTTATGTAAATCGCGCTAATTTTTGCGAAGGCCGAGACCTCGCAAAAAGCAGATTCGACCTCGCGTTTATCATTGTCGTGATATCTTGATATGCGCACTAACTGCCTTTTGATAGCCTTTACTTCTGTGGCTTCCTACTGCCCTGGTTAGACGCGTACGCGACGTTAACTTACAAAACAGTTAATTGTTTTATTATCATCTATAACTAGTACTAAGTTATGTGGAAAAAGCTGTACGCCAGTAAGTCCACTCATATTTTTATATATTTTATTTTTTTGCAAGATTTGCGGCAATACGCTTCTTTGTTTTTGTTCATTCGTCTCGTGTGTCCGTTCATTCATTCAGTCGGTCATTCGACCTTGACACGCAAATTAATTATCTATGCACGGATCGGGAAGTGTCAAAATATATGCCTGACCAAACTAATTGTTTTTTTTTGTTTTTAACTTTCTATATTCCGCGTTTTGTTCTTTGTTCGCTGTTAGAAACAGGAATAATGTTGTAAATGTATTGAATTGTAATAATTTTAAATAAAATAAAGCCATTTAGCTTATGAGTCAAGTTTTATCTAATTGCGTCTATTATTTCCGTCAGACGTCAATGCCTTTATGGTATAATAAAATAGTCCAGTCCAGGGTGTACTCACTCATATACTTTATTTAGACTTAAAAACAAACAATAATTTTATTTATAACATATTATGTAGGTACAAATTAGTAATTATTTAAATATCTGTTTATTTATTTGTGTTCTATATTATTTTAACCGTGGCTATAGATTATAAATAATTATAATGCGTGCAATAGCCACGGAAAATTAATATTAATACTGATTTATACTTGTTATTACATAAACTGGTTACTACCTACACTTTCACCGTCGTATTAGGCGATAACGATAACATTATCACTATGTCCTGTATAAAAATGTTTATTACAATAAACACGAGTCATTATTTACTGAACGCCACGTTGGATGAATTTTTAGGATCGCAAAAATACTAGATTATTAGTAGATATGTTCAAAAAACTGAAAAGTCCAACAATATTTTGCCCGTCTCCTTGCATGGCAGTCACACTTCTTACCAATGACGTACTTACCTAGACTAGTACGTACGTCATTAGTATTTAGTAATAAAAGAAAAAAGTTTAAACTGATGTAACTGAAAAAAAATTACTAAGTTATTACTACTGTAATAATAAACGTGTCGTAATAATTATAATAACATAATGTATGTAAATAGTAAATGATAAATTATATATATACCTAGGTACATCATTTATTCCATACCTACCACTCAACATAATGAGCTGAGTTAATTTATCATCGTACTTAATAGAGTGCGACTGTGACCCACAATATGGCCGACACAATTGAAAAGTTCAATAAAAACAATCAACAAGAGTGGCCGAAGCGGCATTTTATTCAATTGCCTTCATATCTAAATTAGTTGCGATCAAATACAATATTGTGTGCAATAACATCAACATTTAATTGAGTCGTTCAAATTATTCATGTCCATTTTATTTTATGTGCAGAAACCCGTTTCTGCAAATACTGTTTCTAAAATTTATTGCATCACGAATTACTTTATTCATTTAAATATCTAATTATATTGCGAGTAAAAAAACTACACAATAATCATTATTACAAGACTTCAAAATGACGACACAACTCTGTTCCATTTTTAAAACTTGAAAAAAGAAATACAATAAACAAAAGAGGTTTTGAATTCGAATTTAATATTTTTTATAACAGCCAGTGTTGATTTAAATACATTGGAGCTTCTATCAATAATTAATATTAATCTTCCTTTCCCTCTATTATAAAAGTAATCTTAAAAGTTCGTTGGAATCAACTTTTAGTATTCCAATCTCGTTTAAGCGATTGAATTTCCGAGCGCTTTGATTCTAATTGGGACATTTTTCTTTTAACTTTTCCCAACTTAAGGTTGGATAGACTAAAAATTAGATAAATACTGCCTACTTAAGTTTCATTTTGAAAACTTCAGTACCTATTATTCTGAAAATATAGCTACTACGAATAGTTACGTATATAGATACAGATATATAAGTAATTGTGCTTAATATTAATTTCATTGCATAACACACACATAATTCTTGGCAGGTACATGAGTAAATAGTTAAAATATTAACATAAAAATATATGCCTTCAAAAACCTAAATGACTAGCAACACAATCAATCCATCGTTACGTATCGTGTTAATTAAATTCAACGGTATATAAAATTATCATATTAAGTACCACGTATGTTCCGACTATTAAATATTATTAATAACACTTATGAATCAAAGGGCGACCGTGTTAACCGCCGTGCCATGTAAATAGGGTTGTCATTTTCAATTTTTGTTCACACATGCCCCGAACACCGCACTCAACCGAAACGGGACGGCTTCCAAAGGGTTATCGAGGTTAAAGAGCGGATTTTTTGAAAAAATATTTGAGTTTGCTTTCATTGAGTTGTTATATCGTTTTTTATTTGGCTCTAAACTTAAAAGTAATAATAGGCGTGCCTGATATAATAAAAATTATCATTAACAAATGTTTATTTCAGTACATTTTAGTAACATCCATAAACCATGTAACAATGTCAGAATAGAATGATAAAAACTACTTTTTGTCAACCATATTGAGGAGTTCTCAAGAGTATTCAGCGCGATGTTTTATGGGTGTTTGCTTGTTTTGTAAATGCCACCGACACAAGGCTACAAGCAAAGTAAATTAACTTGCCAAATCTGAACTTGAACACGAACATTATTTACACCAACAATAAAATTGTGATGTCACACACATTATATTGTTTCCGCAATTAGATCGAGATAATGCACAACTGCGTCGTAATATTCAAATATTATTTATTACCGTTGAGATCGCGGCAACCTTCATACGACCGTAAATTCGCATAATTGTTTTAAGTACCTCTAAAACCATGGATGCGTT